CGAGAAGGAGAGAGAGAACCATCTGTGTATGCTAAGATTATATTTGGCTTGGGCCATGCAAATTCATGAGTTACCTGACGTCCTGACGTTCGGCTAGTTCGGTCTGGATAGACGCAAAGCCGTTGTTGGCAACAACTTCGATGGCTTAGAACGTCGTGGACCGAAATTAGATTATAAACTGTGTGGCGCGCAAAAGCGCGAAGAAAAATTCGTATCTCCGCCGCGCTGATGACATATCGGATAAAGGCAAAGACACGTAATTATGCATACCATTTAATCTAGAACTGTTGCATTTTCTCGAGGCACTTCGTGGACGGTTTTTCCTCAACGGAACTTTAAATGAAGACCATCGCGTATTGCAACTTTCTACATTGCGACATTAAATTAAGTTGTTGTTATTACAACAAAGACCGCACGTTTGAAATTAGCTTTAAAAACGCGCTTTGTTATCCACTTCTCCGACTTTCTTTTAATTAACAGCAACTAAACATACTTTTTCTAACTGCGGCCTATCTTTCGAGTCCCCGAAGAAGTAATTTTGTAAAAATGCAGATTATCGAATTTATGATAAAATTTGGATCTCATATTATTAATCTATTTCGCGACGGTATCAATTTATTCCCCGGCTTAATTCGTGTTCCAGTCGTTCGAGAAGCCAGAAAGGATTGCACTCTGTCGTATCCGACATTTCGCAACACGTGTTAGAATCGCCGATTAATTCATAATGCATTCAAGGAATCAGCTACCGCTCTGCACGCGCCGGGACGGCTTGACGTAGAGTTCTTCGTGGTCGGAAGTTACATATTTACCCCTGCAAGCCGCACAGAGCGAACACGTAGCGAGACACGCGTATATCGTCAGAATATCTATGTATGATATGCCCCGGGGGAGATTCTTCCTCCCTATGCAGATCCTAATCCGCCTTCGAGACACGCGGAAAACTCTTAAACAAGGAGCATCGGTAAACAGAGGGAATATCAAGTTTGCCGCGCGCGAGCGCAGAGACGCGTCGTTTAAATTATTGCGCCCGTAAGACGATGATTATAGCGCGGAGCAAGTTGAAGCGGCACGATAATGCTATAACGCAGTAGACTGCATACTGAATTTGCGTCTCCGCGTCTTGCTGAGAAGAGCGCGAGAGCGAGAGCGAGAGCGAGAGGGAGAGAGGGAGAGAAAGAGAGAAAGAGAGAGAGAGCGCAAGCGAAAGAGAGAGTGAGAGCTGGAAAGGAGGGTTGCATTATGCGCGCTCGCAATACCGGGTTAACGCGTGAGTCTTGGAAGGCAAGATATTATGTGATAATAAGGTTGTTGAATCATTCCCGTTGAAGTCTCATTTCGTATTTAGCGTCGCTGGCTTGCGGAGCGTGAGACACGCGGAAATTATTTCGCCGGGAAGTAATTCCGTTCCGTTTGTAGGTGCGCGCGGAGCTAGATCTGTTCTGGTAATTGCGAAAACCCGAAGGAACGCAAAAACACTTTTATCGTAACGTCTTATTATCGCGAATATAAATCGATCATCTTTCGTGTATAAAACGTTTGGCGGGATCCTGGGCAAGTCGTAAATTAATCGCAAAATTCGTTCCGTCCGATACATCATACCGAAACTCCATTTCCACGATTGTCAAGTACTTCCGCAAGACGTGCTAAACTCGACGATAGTCCACGCGCTTCTCGAAGTATAATCGAGACGCAGCTTCCACAGAGTAATGTTTCATCAGCACTGTCAGGTGTCCTGTCGTAGATATCGATCTCACCGCTTGATACCGATACTGTTTGCTCCGAGAAGCTTCCACGGAAGCATTCCATTAGCAACGCGTTACGTCACGACGTTCGCAATTAGAATCGGATCCGACACTTTCCGCCATCCATGCGTTGAAGGAATTTCGCCGTTTTATCGAGAATCCCAGATACACGCTCCGAAGGTAGCTACGAAATAGACGAAGAAGAATGCTCAATCGAACCTCGCTGTTATCGTCTCGGCTCTTGCGCGCGCGTAAATACGTATATGTTACCGCAAACAATCGACGCGGAACAGAACTCGCGCGGGCTAAGCCGCGCGTCGAATATTTACATTATAATGGTACACACGCAGCCCTGATTCATTGAGTTCGTACCGTTTGTTATTAATGGCCGCCGGACTCGCGCGTCGGTATCGCCGGTATTGTGTGTCAGTCCTTCCCGTTCCTTGTCGTACATGGTGTGCCCCTTCGCATTAACATAAGAGCCGTATCTCGCGCGGTGTCACGCAGAGACAGGAGACACCACGACGACTTCTCTCTCGCCGTACTCATCCTGTTTCCGATACACCGAACCCCATAAAGCTGTCCTCATACCGGCAAGCCTGCGCGTCCTGTCAATAAGCAAGCTCGCGGAAACTCGTCAATACATTCGCGAGAGTATTCAGCTTGAAACGCCGTGCGAGTGGTTTTGTGGGCTATCGTCTGCCTATTATGGATAATTCAAAAGGACAATCGATTAAAATATGTCGGAGGGTATAATGTCCTATAATTAAAGTCCTTGTGACAAAAACGACTCTAAACGAGAAATTATATTTAGAGTAGAATAGAAAGAACATTTGGGACGGTTCTTCGTAATCCAGTCAGAGCTAACGCGGTTATAGAAATGTCGATATGTCGGTCGTTATAACATTTGGGCAGTCGCAGCTTCCGGCGCTGCTCGATGGAACTGTCGTGTTCATTCGATTTTGTCATAAGATCGGCTTACATTCATACGATCTTAGGCGCTCCACTTTGATGACACGTTAGGCCGCGAATATCAGCGAACGGTTATAAGTTTAGGTCGTATGGGGTCCCCGATGTGTAGCCAGCTTAATGAAGATCGAGGAAGGCAAACCTCTCGCTCTCCTCGCTCTAATGATGACGTCGCGCGGAGACCCGTTCGATGCATTCTAAGTGCCGACACGCCTCTAAATTAGTGTCTTCGCCCCGGACTCTCGAGGTCGCTTGACGTACAAAAAGAACGACGCGCCTGTCCTGACTCTCGTTCCGACTAAATATAGGAGTCCGGTGGAAACCCTGTCGTCGCGTGGTACACGTACTCGAGAGCTGTCCGCGTCATCTCCGCGAACTTCCTCTGCGAGGAGGGGAAAGATGAAACCGTAGGCGAGGAGAAGACGGTCGCGCGTTCATTGAGGAGCTGAAACGCGCCGCGACGTCGGCTGCCTCTGTGTGTGTTTAATGTCGTTCGCTTTCGTTCCTTTTGACGCAATTAGTCGAGCAGACACGGCACTCTCACGTTAAGAGCGACAGTGCATTTGCGTCGCTCTCTCTTTCTCTCTCTCCCTCTCTCTTTCTTACGAAATTCGAGTGGCCGTTGGTATATTTCTACAGCTATATAGGTATATTTGAACGGCTCCTCTCTGTAAGAGGAACTACGCATCAGTTTTAATTGCTTCGAATCCTGCGCATTCCAGGCGTGCTTTAATCTGGCCTCGGAAATTTTTGCTGGAAAATAAGGGAGAAAAAACGATCTTATCGGGATATAATTGTTTAATATTCGCGATGTGAGAGAATGTCCCGTAAATGAGACGGACATTGTGCCAGGTGTATCCTTCTCCCAGGGAATTTCTGCGCGAAATGATAAATTATGAGCTTATTACTAAGTCTTATTACAGAAGATCGTTATGAATACGCAACCGCTAAAGAAAAACGCGCGAGTCTCCGTCATATTCATCGTGCAGAGAGTTATCCTCTTCGAATTTACGTCGCTTTCAGCCTGCGCAAAGGGATTAAGAAAGCGGTCGTCGCGGATTTTAGCACAATCGCATTTTCCGACGCGTGCACGTTGCAGTCGCAACGAGCTCGCTCGTAAACGTTGTCACCTTCATCGTGGTAAAATCGCTGCACACAACGAACGCATGAGCGTACATTAGGATCGCACCAAGGGGTTATCGATATGCTGAAAATGTTACTTACTATTTCTCCTTTTACATTGTTTATTATTCTCATTGCGTAATTCATATCGCGACTCTCCACCATTGCATATCTCGATTTGCAAATAACGTCACAATCCTGACACGTAATTAAAAATTGAAAATTTGTGAGGAAACGAGGAAATGTTGTATTGACGTTTCCTGGGAGCAAATGTCGATTCCGAAATTATCAAAATACCTCCAATTTAAGCTGAAAATGACAGCAGTTTATCCAAAAAGAAAGATATAATCTTTTCTTTAGCGGAATCCTTTTGCATATGTTCTCAGGAAAATTCTTCTAAAATTGAAAAAAAAAGTATTCTAAGCACAATGTTACCCCTCTTCATTAGAAATACTCTTCAACAGAAATACTCTTTCGGGAAAGTATCGTTTAGAACACGGGATTGCAGGAAATAGTACCTCGGAACTAGCGTTCTTCTCTTTGAGTGTTAGGATATTTTCGACGCGGTTTTGAAAGAATCCTCTTGAGACTAATCCGCTAAGGATGATATATTTCATTGGATGTTTGTGAATTTTGATGATCCTTGACGTAGTGACACAAGACACGATAATAATTCGTGCAACACAATAGATATACGGTGTATTCATAGCGATAACTGGATTAACATTCCGGCCGTGGTATCAGAATATCTCTGGCCGATCCTGAGGTGCATCCTCCGCTCGCGAGCAACTAGGTACGTAAATTGTATCCTACGTTCCAGCGCGATCTCGTTTGAATGGGATGCACACGACGAATGCAGGCCATGCAAACGGCAACGAAATGAGCTAAAAGCGTCCATACGTGCGCCCCAAGAGCGGAGGATGCACTTCTTTCCGCGGCGCATCCGGTCTTTGCTATGCCACTCGAGACCGCGGCGTCCCCAGGCCGCTGCTTTTGTGCGTTCCATTTGCGTGAAGACGCAAATAAAATGCCGTATAATTTATTCGCCGGCGAGCTGGAGTAGCCGAATCGCGCAAACGCCTACCTGCGGCTCGCCCGCCTAAGGAAATGCGCGGTTTTCTTTCACGACGGGACGTCGTCCCCTTTTCGCGTGACAGTCGCGCGTATGCGTTGCGTTCGTCTTTTAAAAGCGAAAGAGATCCTTGCTTGAAAGCCGGCTTCTCAGTTTCCGTAGAAGCGTACGGGATCCATTAGGATAGATTAAGAAGTCAAATTTCAGTCCTGTCGTTGGAAATGAAAACCGCGCGGAGAAAGAAGTACGCGAAAGCCGAAGTTCATCGTCTCTCCCCCTGCGCCGTCGTGGAAATAAGAGTCCTCTACTGCGGCTCTGAATTCACGTAGATTCAATTACGAGTCGATATCGATAATCCTCAGTCTTTATAGCAGACTTCTATTAATCTCCCCTCTTTTTCCTGTCTCTCTCTCTCTTTCTCTCTCTCTCTTTCTCTCTCTCCCCGTCTCGTGATCGCGAACTCTACGATTGACATTCCGCTTTGTAATGCAGTTCCGTTCTTTTTGTTACAAGTCGTTACGTTCGCGTCGGCCTCGTCGGGAGGGTAAGTAAGTAGGAAGTAAGACGATCGTCCACCCTCCCTTTGATCCGCAGTAATAAAAGGAGAGTAATCCCGCACGAAACTCGACGATATAAAAAGACGTGGCTCCTTAGATATATACTTTCCGCGGGCGTAGCCGGGGCAAATAGTTTCGGACGAGTTTTCCCTCGCGCCGAACTTCGCAATCCCGGCGAAAGAGCTGACACGTGATGCACGCGTGACTCCTGATACTTTCCTCTCACCGGCAGAGTCCGTTCCGTTTCGTTCTCTTCTCTCCTCTCTTTCGCATCACGCAAAACGATGCCGCGCGCGATCCTACAGCGTCGTGTTCTTTTATCTTCCGGTCGGTGGCACTTTGAGTTCAGTGCGGTTTCGCACCCCTCTTTCCCTCCCTTCCTCCCACCTTACGCCGCGGGAATTGTTAAGGAAGTTTGCTTTGACCGGATAAAATGTAATTTTCGGGTACCGTCGACCGCTTTTAGTTCGGAGCGCTTGTCAGCGAAACCAATTTCGTGTTACAAACTCTGAATGGAATTGACGCGGAGGTGAGGGTGAAGAGGAGATTTTTACATTCCTCTCCAGCAACACTGCGAGCTTCATTCAGAGTCTTGTCAGCGTGCCAGTAGCGATTTCCTGCCGATCAGGGCTACTGTGTCACTAACATCTCGATACAACTTCAACGATCGCACACGTTGAACTCAGTCAACGAAGGATTTTGTATACGGCGAAACATTGCCCTTTGAAAATATTTCATATTTTTTGAGTAGCTCTTTCTTTCTGGCGATAGAGACTCATAATGAACGCGGAAAATGCAACACGTAAACGCGTTGAAATTCGAAAGTACAAAACAATATAAGTAGATGTATTTTTCGTTTGACATCTTGATATTCGCCTTTAACGCTACATTCAACGAGGTTCTATATCGATGTTTTTCAACGCGTTATATGGGTACCCCGAAGTCTTTAAATCCTCCATAACAACGCGTTGAGTTTCGCGCAGATGGAATAATTTAAAATACTCCGACTGAGAATTCGCCGACGAAGAAGATGCCGGTCGAGTCTGTAAGTCGCATCGTTTGAGCTCTTTGAGACTACATTCATGATCCACATAACGTTCATATAATAAGCGCGTAAATCCTGGGATTTGACGTAGCCGGGCAGTTATTATATTATCATTACGCGTGTATATGCGGAGTGCACATAGCTTTCGTTATTTGCTAGCTCAAAGCTGGCGCGGTGTAAAAACTCATTTCAGCGGCCACCAACGCGAGAGCGGACGCTGCGCGTCGCGAAAAATGAATTTTCCCTGCCACGTTCCGCTAATGAACACAAGGGTACACCGCATGATCATGTTATACATAACGGGCATTATCAAGCACGTAGCACTGGCGTGTATTTCGCTGATACACCTATACGGAGTTGATTATAACATAGACAAACCAGAGAGATAAATACCGGCGAACCCCCGAGCGCTAAAGACAGTAAGCTCATTAACGGCAAACTAACTTTTAACTAAATATAAT